AGAATGAAAAAGAAACATACCTGAAGGAAAAGCAGAGATTTCAAAAGATAATCAGATACTATAAGGAACAAATTCCTACCAACATATTTAAAAACGTGCAGGAAATGTATACTTGTCTAGAAACTTAAACTTAACAAAACTGACCAAAGAACTAGAACACCTGAACGGTCCTGTGTCCATTAAGGAAATTGAAATCAGTAGTTTAAAATTGTCCCACAAAGAAAATACTGGACTTAGTCTTAAAAGTGGAATTTTTTAATTAAGAAAAAGAATTCTGACATTACACAAAAACTTTCAGGTAAGAGAAAGAGAGGAATAGTTCTTCAGATTACTTTATAAAGCGAGTACAGGAATACTCCACAGATTTATATTTTCCCACTAAGTTACCTCTTGTATTTAGGACCATCACATCATACAACATTTCAGATTATATTTATATAGAAAAAAATTATATTTTAGATCCCAAAACTCAATACAACATTTTTAACAACAACCAAAAAAAAAGAGTGTAGCAAATGCTTTGAGATACATCATAAACACAATTAGTAATATGACAGCATCATGTGTCAGCATATCCAAAAGCATCCTGAATATCAGTGACAGAGATGTTCCGCACAAATGCCACTGATGATACAAGAGGCGTTACTGTTTCATCCTCAGTGTGAATCATTCTCTAACACATTTCTAGAGTGACTTTCATATTTCTTCCCCACCACCACATCTTCCTCCTAATTATAACAATGAGACTGAATAAAAGTCAAGAAAGTGTTGAAGAACTTTACAGAAAAGGAAGCAAAACAAGCAGAAAAGCAATTACAATGAAAGAAACTCTATTACTGCTAACAAAGCAACTATTTGTCAACAACTATATTATTTGAGGGTCAGGAAGCAAATTTAATATAGGTTTACCATATTTTACTTACATTTTAGGAAATTCGTTTGGGTTCACAAGTAATCCATTATAATTTTGCCATTTAAAATAAAGAGAAATAGACTCTGTTTTTGAACAGAACATCTAATTTTCAGAAACAAATTATTAATGTTAAGTAGATATCTATGTAATTTTACTATCAAATTTTTAAAAGACAGTATAAAAAAATAACTACAGACTCATCCATAAACAGAACTGCAGTAACTCTAAACAGAATATTTTTTGAAATGACATGTTTTGTTTCTTCCAGAAATGCAAAATTGGTTTAATATTAGAACATGTATTAATGCAATTCACCATAATAACAAAAAAAGAACCCATATGTTCATCCATAGAGACAGAAAAAGTAATAAAATTCAACATTCACTCACAATTAAAAAAAAAAAAAAACTATTAGCAATGTAGAAATAGAAGGAAACTTCCCTAATCCAATAAACAATAAAAAAGGCATAAAAGTGTCACACACACCATACACACATGCTGAAACATTAGGAGCACTGGCTCATGCAATTATGGTAGCTGAGAAGTGCTAAGATGCTGTCTCTAAGCTAGGGGCCCAAGAATGCCAGTGGAATAGCCAGAGAGCAGGTGGTGTAGATTCCAAAGGCCTGAGAACCAGTGGAATTGAGGGCAGAAGATTACTGTTCCAGCTGATAGAGTCAGGCAAACAGCAAGTAAATCCTTTCTTTCTCCCCTTTTTTTGTTCTATTCAGGCCCCCAAAGGATTAAGTGATGTCACCCACAATGAGGAAGTAAATCTCCTTTACTCAGTTTATTGATTCAAATGCTAATCTCTTCTGGAAACATCCTCAAAGACACACCCAGAAGTAATGTTTACCTAGATGGCTGAGGATCCTGTGATCCAGAGTTGATACATAAAATCAACTATCACACATACCATTTTCATATAGATGTCAACTCTCCTTCAGTTTATCACAGATCCAATGCAATTCCAATAAAAATCCCAACAATCTTTAGATTGTAAAGTTCAATGAAAAGATGAAATATGGCTTTAGCAGCACAATCCTGAAGACAAGCATCATCAAACAATGATTACCAAAAGGTAGAAGGAGTCTAAGTCAAAGCAAAAGTGGACCAGTTCGATTCACTGAACTTTACAATCTAATTCTAAAAACTATGTGCAAGAGAAAAGGGACAATAATAGCCAAGACTTCCCTGAAAAAGATAATGGCGTCTGGGTGGTAATATGGATGTGGGAGGGCAGGGTATTTGCCATTGCAAATATCAAGACATTATAAAAATATAATAATTGAGATGGTGTAATACTGACACAGGAGAGACAAATAGACCAGTAGGGCAGAATAGACAGCGTAAAGGTACATCCATACAAAAAGAAAGATAAACAAAAACAAACACACAAAAAAACCCTGATCTGTGATGATAGTGGCATGGTAGTTCTGTGTAGAAAGGATGAGCTATTGATAAACCATCTTAGAAGAACTGGTTATCCCTAGCACTCACTATAAGCAAAAGTCAGCTTTATATGGATTAATTATTTTAAAATGCAAAACTCTCACTTCCACTCCTAATGAAAAAATCAGGATAGGACAAGAAACGGTGGAGTAACAAATAAAGCTCACTTACTGTCTACCCCTTATAGGGTATATTAGGTTGCTCTTGCTACCATAACAAATGAACACAAATGCCTTTCCTCTGCCTAATTTTGGAAAGTTTGGGGAGCAGATACAAAGGGAAGAAGAGAAAAGAGGAAAGTGGAAGCAATAATGTAAAGCCATTAAAAGAAAAACAGCATGTTTTCCCCTTTCATAAGAACTCAATCCAAGAAGGTTCCATATTTGGGGTAGGGATAAAAGAGAGGAAAAGTCTAGCTCATATGAGTCATTTATTGGATGTCATTATGTACCACACACAATGCTATGTGATTCCACAAACCTTTCTTAATTATTTAAACTAACCTAAATAGTACATGTGTGTAGTTATTACCTTTAAATGAGGAAACTCAGGTTCACAATGGTGGTCACATACCTAAGGGAGCAAATGTCAGAGGGAGATATAAACCTAGGTATGCTGGCTGCCCCAGTCCAAGAAAATTTCCTCTCTCACTGCATTCGTCCATTCTCATGCTACCAATCAAGACATACCCGAGACTGGATAATTTATAAAAGAAAAAGGTTTAATTGACTTACAGTTCAGCATGGCTGGGGAGGCCTCAGGAAACTTACAATCATAGCGGAAGGGGAAGCAAATACATCCTTTTGCACATGGCAGCAGGAAGAAGAGTGGAGCAAAGATCTGGTGAGATCTCCCGAGAACTCATTCACCATCACGAAAACAACATGAAGGCAACCAACCCCATGATTCAATTACCTCCCACCAGCTCCCTCCCACAACACGTGGGGAGTATGGGAACTACAAATCAAAATGAGATTTGGGTGAGGACACAGCCAAAACTTGTCACCGACTTTGCCTAGCAAGAAGGCAAGACTAAGGTGTTTTATAATCCCCACACTGTGCCTTTCGCTGTCTTTAAAGGACAGTCTTGGTGGTATTGCCTTCCTTCCGCAACCTGCCTTCTGCCCCAGATGTTACAGTGACTTCCTAATGAAGTCTGGAGTTACTTACCTTCTTGTAATAATTATACATTTACTACTTCTGTACAGTCATTGTCTCCAGATTGATTTTGTTATCATTCGTGCTAGTCTTTGTGTGATGACCACTGGGCTGTGAGCCTGAATTTTCTTTTTTCTTTTTTTTAAACCACTTTATTGAGGTATGACTGAGATACAAAAAGTTGTATTTAATGTATATAACTTGATGTATTTGGAGATAAGCTCTTTTTCTTCTCTTTCTTTCTTTCTTTTATAGAATTCGGCTTCCAAGAAACAACGAAAGGTGCTAAGACTGGTCTCTGGATGAATCTCTGCTGCAACTTAGAGAAACATGGAGACCTAGTTGTCATCATACAACTTGTCTTGCTGCCACTCCTGTCCCTTCAAGGAGTTATGGTTATCAGGAAAAAAGCCAATTAACGAACTCTGCTTTATTTTTGTGGTGATAATTAATCAACTCTAAGATTTCAGCATAAAATCCCATTACCTTACCCTATGTGACAAGACCCTAAGTGCCTTGCTCTTGCCTGGCTCTCCAGCTGCATGTTGTCACTCTGTACTCCTTACTCTACTCCAGCCACACTGTCCAAAACCTCCTGTCCCCAGAATCTTGCATAACCGCCTTCACACATCTGCTCAAAGTTCACCTCCAGTCTTCCTATGCCTAGCCCCATGAGCTACTGAACACTTGAAATGTGCTGGAAGTATAAAATATACACTGCATTTTTATTACTTAGTAGATATAAAAGAATATCTTAATAATTCCATTAATTCTATATTGATTGCCTGTTGAAATAGTTAACATAGGTTGGATTATTATTAAAATTAATTTGACCTGTTTCTTTTTACTTTTTTTTTTTTTTTTCTGAGACGGAGTTTCACCCTTTAGTCCAGGCTGGAGTAAAGTGGCGCAATCTCAGCTCACCACAACCTCTGCTCCTACCTCGCCCGGGTTCAAGCGATTTCTCCAGCCTCAGCCTCCCAAGTAGCTGGGATTATAGGCACCCGCCATCAAGCCCGGGTAATTTTTGTATTTTTAGTAGTGACGTGGTTTTGCAATGTTGGCCAGGCTGGTCTTGAACGCCTGACTTCAGATGATCACCTGCCTCAGCCTGCCGAAGTGCTGGGATTACAGACATGAGCCACTGCATCCTGCCTTCTTTTTACATTTTATGTGGCAATTGGAAAATTTAAAATTACATTCATGGCTCACACTGTTTCCATTCGACAGCGCTGCTCTATGGCATGACCCTCTTTTGCTGCCTTCCTGGCACTTACATTGTGGAATTTCAGCATCCGGGCTCACCTGGTCAGTGGCCTTCTCACCCAAGCAGAATGTACCACAGGAACCTTGCCTGGCTCACCCACATCTGATTCCCAGGCACTCAGGCCAGGGCCTGGAGCATAGTAAGTGCTGACTGAATATCTTTCGAATGAATGACCCTGCTCTTCCTCAGCCGGAGACATGAATTCTGTCGGGTCCCAAAACACGTGGTCTAAAGTCCTTTGGGCTCCAGTTGCTGCCAGCACTGACAATATGCTCTTGACCCTGGGCGGGGTGGTCTGGATACTTCCTCTATGGAAAGCACTGGTCACAAAACCGCAGAGGTGACTCAGGCTGAGAACCCAGGCTCCTCTTTCCCTTGGTGACACGCCCCGCCCCTCGGTCCCTCACTGGCACTTCTCCCTCCGGCCACACGGCGGCGTCTCGCGAGAGTGCAGCGGCCGATGGTACAGCTCGCTCCCCCCTCGCGCCCTCGGACAGTGGGTCCTTCCACTTCTAGAAAAGGATTGTGGGACGGCAGGTCGGTCTTTCTTCATTTTGGTGCGAGCTTGGTGTGGTTTTTGCGCTGGGTCTTCTGGGATGGCGCTTGGCTGTGGCCGCGTGGTCTCTCACGCCGGGGCGCCGGGCAGGGGAACGCGGCCACCCTGAGTCTGGTGAGTCGACTGCGGCGGCCGGACCGTGTCCGAGGTGTCCGGGGCCGTGAACGCGTGAAGGGTAAGCGGCCTGGTCTCGCGCCTGCGTTCCCAAGCTTGGAAACGGGAAGCTGGTGGATTTGTGTTTAGATCATCGACTATGCCAGGGAGTTCTCCAGATAAGCCTGGTTTTATTTTCGTTAGTGAAAAGGCCTTACCTGACTTTATGCCTGCCCTGCCCCCGGGTAAAATAACTTAAAAGCAGAGGGCCTGGTGACGGCTGTTTCCATATGCGGTATTCGGCGGCAGTGATCACCTAACCTGCAGGTGAGTTTTCACGTTGGTGCGAGACGAGTCGCCATTTAAAACGCATCTCATTTCACTTTTCATTACTAAGTCGGATTTTAAATAGAAAATTTCTCTGAAATGTAGGGTTCGTTTTTAGGCTGTAATCAGAAGATTACTGTCAGCCAGTCAGCAACCTTATGTCCTAGAGCCGACCTCGCGCAGTGTCAGCCTTTGTGTTGCCCATTCACTTTGGAAACTAGTGAATGTGGTGTCAAAAAAGGCGTAAATTAAACGCTTTGCAGCCTTTTCCTGCCCTTGAATTTGGTATCTTTGGTGTAGGAGCTGCATAAGTAACAGTTGCTGCTTTTACATTTACACGCGTGATCTTGACCCCGCCAGCCACAAGTGTATGGTTTGTCTTAACCAGTTTTAATTTTTGTTCAGGTGGAAGATGGATGCCTGAAGTGTAGACTGCTGCTAGCTCAATACCATCTGGGAGCACAAAGGTGACCAGAAGGTAGGGTGATATGTCATAAAGCACTTTGTAATGGGAATTTCTATCACCTTTTAGATTGCGGCTCCTTCTCTAGTGAGTATTAATGTTAGTGGTACATTCGTAGTGTTGCTCCGTCTGTAGCTATTTAGGTGAGTTAACAAATGGGACAGCCTCCACAGCTTATTTTTGAGAAAGTTTTGCTGATACATCCTGAGAAGCCCAGGGAAATAAATACGCATAGTACTGGCATTCTGGATCCCTTAAGAATTGCTTTTATGTGTAGTCATTGAGTTTTTTAAAAACCTGTCAAATCGCAGGCATATTAATTACCAAGTTCTTGATTAAAATGTTACACAAAAATATCTGCTGCCGAATTGAGTACTTTATTTTTTCTCTTAGGATGTCCTTGGTGAAGAGTTTGAAAATTTGGTCTTCACAAGAGTTGCTTGGCTCATTTGAAATTGCCGGGAGTCTGAGGATTTCTGACATAACTGCCTGTTGGAGTCTGTAAATACACACTTAAGACAGTGAGGATGTGAATAAATATATTAATGCACTTTGACATTTGTGTTTTAAGTGATTAACTGCCAGAAATAGCTGTTTCTAAAAAGTTATAAGGGAGGAGGGCGTCTTTTTTGATCAGTTTTCATTGTTGTCACCATAATTAATAGCCTTACAATAGCTTGTGTTTGGCCCAAAGAGAAATGTACTTTCTTCCAGTGACTCAAAAATCGTGGCAAGAACTAGACTGATTCTAGTGACAGGTGTGCTTTACTGCACCCAATGCATACATTTTTTCCCTCCAACTAGATTGTACACTTAATATTGGCATATCTTCTGCCTTCACTTTGCAAGAAACAACAAATAATGTATTCAGGTATTCAAAAAATTTATTGAAAGCACTGTACTAGGAGTTAAGAACACGATGACGCGCACAACACAGTTCTTCCCTTTGGAAACAAAGTTGAGTGGAGGGAATGTCATCACATGTAAAACTTCACTATGAGTTTCATGATAGGATTTTCTTGGGGAAACCTGAGAAGGAGTTGAGACCAAAGGTATGTGTCATACTTTTCACAAGGCAAAATTGGGGAAATGACATGCAGAGGCTTGGGCTAGAAAAAAGATACCATAAGTCCACTTACTTTTGTGACAGTTTTGGCTGCTTTCCCTCTTCAGTGCCTTGTTTCAGAATTGAGTTGTTTACTGAGGCATGTAAGATGGCTATTATGGGAGGTGGGAGTGTTACAAAATGAGGCTGAAGAGGTAGGTAAAGAAGCCAGACACACCACTTCAGGCTCCCTCTGGCTTTATTAAAGCAAGATAAGTCCATGGTGGAAAATCAGATTTGCAAAAAAAGGTAGTTGAACTAGGTTGCTTATTGTTGTCTAGGCGAGAGACCATCTTGCACTAGTAAAATTAGTGAAATAAAATTGTTTATAGTTCGATGACAGAGCCAACTAGACTTGGTAATAGTGGAGGTGCCCATAACTGCTAGATGTCGAGCTTGCACACTGATGAGCATAATGACTATAAATCCAGTTGGGGAGCAGCATTTAAACAGCTGAATTCTTAAATTACCTTTCAGAACTCCAAATGGTCTTTTTGCAGTAGCACATTACTCGGTAGTCTAAACTACAGAAATAAACCTTAAGGCCATGGGTATAAATGGTATCTACCCGGGGTAGAGGAAGAGGGCCTAGGGTTTGAAGTTAGAGAAACTCCACTAATGGCAAGGTAAAGCATGATAAGCTAGAAAGGGTGGTCAGTATGTGGTAGGAGCAAAATAGGATTACATTAAAGAAGCAAAAGAATATCCTAAAAATTCTCCCTGGGATTAAGTGACACAGTGATTGATATTAATCACTTAAGATATGGATTAGTTGAATTGAGGGCAATGACTAAAGATAACTCCTTGCATGAAGATTGGCTGAGAATGAGAGGAAAATCATAGTTGCTAGAGGGTGGGGGGTTGTAGTTATGAAAGATAGTTTTCTTTAGTCTTAGTTTTAAATTTAAAACGAAGTAGCAAGGATCTAGCTGAGAGAATGATTGAATACATTAATATAGGAGGAGGAGATACAAAGATCCTGAAAAGGCTGGGAGAGAGCATCCAAAGCACAGGCGGAGAGACAAAAAGGTTAGGGCTGCTGGCAGCTGTGGAGAGAACTGTATGTGGTAAGGGGGAGATGTAAGACATCCTGTGTAAGTATTTTCCCCGTAGACTGCAAAGTCATCTATGGAGAGGAAAGGTCCAAAATAGTCACTAGGGAGAGCAGGTGAGTTAGATGGCCAAGCAGGGTGGATAGATCATTTGAGGTTTGGGGTGAGGGATCAACTGAAATCCACACAGACTTCTGAAAACACAAGACAAGAACACTTTAGAAATTAACACTTAAAAGCAAAGCTTTTTACATCATTTGTAAATAACTGGTGGAACTTAACACCACAAAATACAGTATTATAAAGAACTATATGAATAAAAATATCTGCAGTCTGGAAGTGATGCCTCAGTCCTTTTGCATCTGGGGGCTACTTGAGAACCAACCCAGAGCTGGGAAGACGTCCTCCCACTTGTACTATTGCACAGCAGGCTAGTTGCAGTTCAGATTTCCAGAACGTTCATCAGATGCATCTGGTCTTGGTTGTGGTGGACACAGACACAACATAGTCAGAAATGAATGATTGCTATCCTGTTCCAGAAACGAAAATGTGGTTTCAAGTGAATTTTTACAAAATACTTATTCTTCCAGTTCAAACAAAAAGGTGCTTCAGCACGACTGTGCTGTAGTTAAACCATGCCTATAATCCCAGCACTTTGGGAGGCTGAGGCAGGCCAATCACTTGAGGTCAGGAGTTTGAGACCAGCCCCCAACATGGTGAAACCCTGTCTCTATTAAAAATACAGAAAGAGCCACGTATTGTGGCGCACGCCTGTGAGGCAGGAGAATCGCTTAAACCCAGGAAGTGGAGGTTGTGGTGAGCTGACATGGTGCTGCTGCACTCCAGCCTGGGTGACAGTGGTAACATCTCAAAAAGAAAAAAATATATATATATATAACATTGTCTTATGCTGAAATACTCGCAGGTCTGAGATTTGAATCAAGGTATCTATTTCACAGTTTGGAAAGTACCAGTGGTGCACACAACCTTCCCACCCCTACCCTTGACCCTTCATCAGGATCAAGTCTCTGTCTTGAGGCGGGAAGCTTGGATAGTTTTTATTGTTTTTGCTGTGTGTTTTCCAGCCAGGTTGTTTGGAGATGTCTGAGGTTTTTCTTCCATCAGGCTATCTTTAGACCCATTTCTTCTCTAAAATATAATATATTTGAAAAATACAGAAAGATTCAGAAGAAAACAACCAAATGAAGTATTTTAATTACATCGGAAACCAAGCTGGTCTTAAATTGAAGATACTGAGTTAATTCAAAAGTTTCATAATACCAAAAGCTATTCAATAAATGTTCCCTCTAAATAGTTGTGCAAAATAAACAAAGTTTGTATTTAATCTTTGTTTAATATACAAAGTTAGTCTGACATTTACATTCATAACGATTTTATTCATGAATATTAGGCATAATTCACACAAATCTGTCATTACTTTTGTTAATAATTCCCAAACCAGGCTCTCAACCTTCTCACTTTTGCAAACAGAATAGTGATGGAGAGAGTTGGAGGCAATTTATAATCCCCTGATTTTATTTTCAGCAGTCAATGAATGGAACAATGTCTTGTGAGCCCCTATCACTTGTCTCGTATGGAGAAACAGGGCAGCTGATTACCAGAGCCTGGGCACCACATCCACTACTTTGTAAAACTTAGGTTTTACACATCTCCCATCATCACAGGTGGAGGCTCTGAGAATGACACTAACTCACATCTGCTCCTTACGCAAACCCCTCCTGCTGTTACTTCCAAGAGATGGCCTAACATTGTTAGTGTATCAGGCTGGCAAGCATATTTCCTTCCCCAAATGTATATGCCCACAAATAATGGGCTACACTGTCCCAATCTATTTTGAGATTTGTTTGAGCTAAAAAAAAAAATCCCTCTTTTAAAATGCAGTTATCTTTAATCTGTTCCTATGACTGGCTTAATTTGTTTTACTGACATTCAAAAAGCACTGATGGAATAATTATGCTGCCTATCATGGGAAGCATGAACCAGTCTATTTGGGATGGAAGATTTCTGGATAGCCAGAGGTCGGAAGAGGACACCAGTGAATGTGAGAGGAAAATATAGCAGAAGAATTACCAGAAAAGATTGCTAGGAGAGGACCTGAAATAAGTACTATGTTGTTTGTCTAGGATTGAATCTGTCCACTCTGCAGACCTTAAGAAATTAAGTTGCTATTCTTCCCCATTCTTAGCAGCCTTTGCGTGAAAAGGCAAGGTGAGGTGTAGGGCAGGTCACTGCCAGAACTCTGGTGGCATTGTGATGGAAATTAGAACTTAAAAATTGCATTAGGAAATGCACCTTTCGGTCACTCCAGCCCCTTCTCCGCATGGCAGCCGATGAGTGGCTTCCTTTAAGCACTTGGAATAAAACAATAAGATCCAAATGTTTCCCACAGCCTTTAAGGCCTTGTGTTATCTGCCTTTCCCTTCATGCTCAGTGCATGTTGGTCTTTCAGCTCCTCAAATACCCAGGCCCTCTCCAGAGTCAGCATTTTCCCTATATTCCTCACTCTGATTACATCAGCCTTGCAGCCACTCACATGGCTGGCTCCTCACCTGCCAGGTCTCAGCTTTAAATGCCACTTTCTGAGATGGCCTTCTCTGAACACCGTAAACATGCAAAGTGAGGTCACTTTGTTGCTCCTCTAGCTCAGGCATTTCTTTGTAATGCATACTCCTATTTGTTTTAACTGTTTACTTTTATGCCTCCACGTCTAGGCTAGGGCCATCAAACTTTTTTATAAAGAGCCAGACTGTAAACTACATCCTGTTTGTGTCACATGTTACTGTTACTTTGTTTTGCTTTTAAACAACCCTTTAAAGGTGTAAAAACCATTACTGGCTTCTGGGCTGTACAAAGGCAGCAGACTAGATTTGGCCCTTAGGCCATGGTTTGCTGATTGCTCAGACCAGTGCTTGACATTCCTTAGATGGGCTCACTGGATATTTACTGAATTCAAAATCAAAAGTGTTCTGGAGACAGGCTTAGAATCAGTGCCACTGATCAGAAGATGCATGTGAGTTCTTGTGTCCCGCAAAGTGAAAGCTATTCTTCCAACTTAGAATGTAAGTTTTTTTAATTCCTGAGTGGAAATAAAAATTACTACTTGTATTGAAACCAACTAAAATTTAAGACAAAAACAAAACAAAACCAAAAAAACAAATGATAGCTGCTTATTAATCATCACAATAACCATACGAGGTAGGTTATCTACACTGTATAAAAATTGAGGCTTAGAAGTTTAGCAGTATTAAAGTTACACAAGTAGTATGCAGAGATGAAACACAAATTATTCAGGTCAGTCAGAATGCAAAGCCTAAACTTAATCATGAATATAATTTTGAAAAAGTACTGTCAACTTTAAACCAAATGTCTATTTGGACA